GGTGGGCGCGGGGGTCGGCCCCGGGGCGGTGTTGCCCCTGCCCGTGCTGCTCTTCGGCGCCCCCGCGCTGCTGGGCCTGGCGCTGGCCCTGGCCCTGGCTCTGGTGGGCCTGGTGAGCTGGAGGCGGCGACGGAGGCGTCTGGGGGCAACCTCCCCGGAGACCCCAGACGGAGACAAAGACGGTGAGTTCTGCGTCTAGGGGAGCCAAGGGGCGCTGCCTAAGCAGAGGGGGTCACACGGTCTGGGGGTGGGGACAGTCTAGGGAGAGATATGGCCCTTGGGGTGTAGGGAGGGCTGAATGGGGGAACAGGGCTCTAAGGGGTGAGGCAGACGTAGTCCTGCCACTGAGCCCCTGGTCCAAGTGAGGGACACAACTCTGCCCTCCCAGGCCCCAGTCTGAGGACAAGACACAGCACTGGGGAACCCTGCCCTTTGTGAGCCTGAGGCGGCTTGGCACCAGCGTAAATCTGTGGGGTCCCCAGACTGGGCTCCCGACGCCTCTCCTCTGTCAGCATCCCCACTTCGCCAGGCCTCTGGACTCAGCACTTCCTGTCCTGAAGGCCTGTCATGTGCCGCCCCTCCCCACCCTGCAGTGGGGCTTCGTTGACTGAGGGCTGTCCCTTGAAGGAGGCTTCCAGAACGGGGAGTGGGGGGAGGCTGTGACCCAATCCTGACCCTCCACCACCCCCTTGCTCCAGATCCCCCGGAGAATGTCATCATCCTCGCTCCGGGAACCCTTGAAGCCACAGCTCCCGTCTGGCCTCTGCCCAGAGAAGACCCAGGCACCACTTCACCTGGCCACAGCGTCCCTGTGCCAGCCACAGAGCTGGGCTCCACTGAGCTGGTGACCACCAAGACGGCCGGGCCTGAGCAGCAGTAGCAGTGGCAGGGGCAGGAGGTGGCTCCTGCCCTCCTTCCGGACCCTCAGCCAGGCGCTTGCAAGTCGAAGTCTGCTCTTCACCCCACTGCCCACCTGCCCTTTTGCTGGGAGCCAGGCTGCTGCCAGCCAACTCCCCCTGTGGAACCAGACACTACAGACGACAGCATTCATCTGGCATGGAGTTCTCTGGTGTATTAGCTTTTAGCTTAAGACCGTACCATCGTTGACAGCCCTGAAGGTTGCATCTGAGCTCCTGTGCTTTTGAATGGTTGGCACATCGAGAGGGGAAAGCACCTGCTATGGGCTAAATATGTTCCCAAAAGTTTGTGCATTGGAACCATAACAGTATTAAGGAGTGAGAAATCCCATTATGGTATTTGAAAATTAGAGCCTTTAAGCGGTGATTAGATTGTGAGGGTTGTACCCTAATGAATGGATCGATCATGGAGTAATGAGTGTGATGCTGGTGGCTTTAGAAGGAGAGCAAGTGAGGACTGGCCAGTCAGCTCAGTTGGTTAGAGCACGGTGGCGACAACACCAAGGTCAAAGGTTCGGATCCTTGAACCAGCCAGCCACCAGTAAATAAATGATACGGGGAGCGAGTGGGAGGGTCAGCCCTCTTGTGCTCAGCCCATTCTTGCCGTGTGACACCCTGGTCACTATGGGATCCTGTAGAGAATTCCCACCCAGAAGACCCTCAGAAGATGTGTACCCTGAAGCTTGGACTTCCCAGCTTCCAAAACCGTAAGGGAATAAATTTCATTTGTTTATAAATTATCCAGTTTCGGGTATTCTGTTAAGAGCAACAGAAAAGGACTAATATGGCACCATTAAGCCAAAACCAATCTGATAAAAAGAAGCGGGAGGATACTTAATTTGTAGCTGGGTGTTATATTTCTTTTTCTTTTTTCTTTCTTTCTTTTTTTTTTTTTTTAAAGATGACCAGTAAGGGGATCTTAACCCCTGACTTGGTGTTGTCAGCACCACGCTCACCCAGTGAGTGAACCGACCATCCCTATATGGGATCCGAACCCGTGACCTTGGTGTTGTCAGCACCGCACCCTCCTGAGTGAGCCACGGGGCTGGCCCTATATTTCTTTAATTCTTGTTCTCAGAGCTGTCCTGCTTTTAAAATGATACAAATGGCAGCAATGCATAAACATCGATGGGTTTGCTTTGGAATTTAGTACAAGATTATTTTAAGAAATATCCAGGAAAAAAGATTGTGCTGGATTGTGCTGGTTCTTAGGTATCTGTATCCCAGGGTCAGTCCTGAGCTTGGCCCAATCTGCTAGGACCTAAGATGCCATTTTGACCCCAGGGGGCAGTTTCCAGAGCCATTGCATTTGGGAGGAAGTTTACAGCCCCTGGGGCTGGACTCCAAACTCAAGCTGACGGAGCACAATGGCAGGCAGCTCCCTCAGAGCCCACCTGGGGGCCCAGCTGCCTCCGAGGCACAGCGCGCTCAGCCATATACAGGGCAGAACTAGGACCTTCAGGAGGCTCCTCTGTGCAGATGCCAGTGCAGGCCTGTGGCCTTGAATCAGATGGACGTGAGGCCCCTCGATCTCCCTTCTCTCCCAGTGCTTGAGCTTGTCCTCCCTGAGCACTGGGTCCCAAGAGCTGGGCTCACTTGGCCATTCTGTGCGAGCCCCTAAGGTCACCCACTGTCCCAGTGGAACGTGCTTCTCTGACAGTCGTGCTCCTTGCTCTGAGGTCTGGGGCCAAGAGCATCTCTTTCCACTTCCGGACCACAATGTGGACTCACAGTCAGCCTTCACCTGTCCTGCCTGCCCTTCTACGTGGGTCAGAACCTCCTGACCTGGACTCTACCCTGGACAGCTTCCTTGGAACTTGTCGCAGCCTAACACCTTTGGAAGAAGCACTGGACTGGGAGTCAGATCAGAAGATGGGGCTCTGGGAACTGTCTTTCCCGCTGTAGGGCCTTGGCCACGTTCGGTTCCATGCATCAGATGTTTTCTGCCTGCCCCTCCCTGACTGCCCACCAGAGCTGCCTGGCAGACACCTGACCTTTCTGCCCACCGTTTCCCAGCTCAGAAGACAGTCCGTGGCCAGCGGCATTTGCAGCCCTCAGGACCTAGACACCCGCATCCAAGTCTCTGCCCAGCTACTCCCTCCCTGAACCCATCTCAGATGTCCTCCGCGAGCAGGTGACTGGGGTGAGGTCAGGTGGCAAGCAGTGGCAGGGGGCTGGGGGTGCCTAGGATGGGCCCAGCCACCCACTCTCCTGTCCATCCTGAGCTTGGGGCAGTCTGAGCTGTTCCTGGCCACCCCTTTCTCTCACCCCACCTCGTCTGCTACAGCCAGGGGCTGGGCCTGGGAGATGAAAAGTGTGGCTGAAACCCCTCTAGAGCCCAGACATGCAAACCTTTGGCACCTTCTGTCTCAGGTGAACCCCCGGCTGGTACACGGTTTCCCCTCCAACCTCTCAGTTTCCTCTTCTGAAAAATGGGAGGTTGGATACAAAGTTCTCCTCCTGGCCTGTGGCCCCCTGAGAGGAGAAGGCCTGGAAGGAAGCTTAGAGAAGTCTCACACACAAACCCATTTCACAGGTGAGGAAACTGAGGCCCAGAGAGGGAGAGAACTTGGCATTATTGGCATCCCCCAAATAACAGAAGGGAAGTTCCTTGGGGAGGGACCAGGAGAGACCAGTAGAGTGATGGGCAAGGAGGGGCACAGTGCCTCCCTGCCCGTGGTTCCTCCCCCCCTGGAAAAGGGCCCTGCGGCCCAGGTCATGAGATCAGTCTCCTGCCCTCTGTCCTGGGTACTGTGCTCTTCTTTGTTGTCGTGTGTTGGTTATTGGCAGCCAGTACACCAGGTGTTGCTTTTTAAGGAGCCTTCATGTCAGCACCTCATCTGATCTTCTTAACAGCACCTGGAAGGGGGGTGGGATTTTTTTGTTTGTTTGTTTGCTTAAAAGATTTTATTAAAAGAAAATTAAGATATTAAAGCATTTTGTGGGTAGTTTGGAAAGTCCAAGACAGTAATCCAGGGTGGTGTCTGTGGAGAAATGACTCTTCTGCGGCAACGCCAGCCCTCCGAGTGGAGGGTGGACTTGTCCGCGTCATTGTAGTCATTCTACACACACAAATTTGTATCCTGACCATCGTATTTGGTAAGTTTCTCTCTCTTTAACCACTTCACAATAATGTTTTTAACATTTGCCAAGCATTCCCCCTGAGCATTTGGTAATTTTCGGTTTTCGCTATTGTACCCGAGGCAGTGAGCACCTCCTTCTACGTAAATCTTTGCATAAGTCTCTGTTTCACAGAGAGTTGATGCACCTAAGGCCTTGACCTTTTCCAAGGTCCCTGTATGACGAATCGCTTTCCTCAAAGTCTGGACCATTCCATCTGTGAGCGGTGATTTTTTTGCAGACAGGAAAAGAGGCCCAGAGAGGCGAAGGGATCTGACCCAAGATACAGCAGGCAGTTAGTGGTGGGGCTCGTAGGCCACCCAGCAGGTCCCCGAGCAGGTCACCAGGTCACGGCCCAAGCACTCTCCAGGGCTGATGCCAAGCCCCACCCCTTATTTTCATCACTGCTCAAAGATTTTTCTCCCCAACCTGTCTCTTTTTGCAGTAAGAGGGATCCAAGACAGACTCTGGAAGGACGGACGGCTTGTTGGGTGGAACGTAGAGAAGCAGCCCCCCTCCCCCAACCCTGTGTTTCTGGCCAGTTTTTCCTGATGGAGGGTCTGGTTTCCATGAAGTCCCCAGGGGCCCGGCAGGTGGGGGCGGGGCTGGCTGAAGTCTCGGTTCCTCCTGGGGCTTCCTGCAGGTCCCTTTCACTTCCTGCCTGGCAACCCCAAGCTGGGGGCTCAGGGTGGGGATGGGGAGGCCCAGCTGGGGAGGCCGTGCAGGAAGGCCTGCCCCCTCACTTCCTCTGTCTCAGCAGTGATGGCCCCATACGGCACTGTCCTTAAAAGCTGGAGGCATCTCACTGGGTCAGTCTCCCCATCTGTAAAATGGGGCTCCTGAGGACCACCCAGCTGTCCTTCGAGATTAAAGAGGTCATGTGGCATGTAGGAACAGAGCGATCCCTGCCAGGGACAGGGAATGTCCTCAGCAGGGGTATAGGAGCAGGCCTGGTCCTGACCTGTGTCCTGGGGGGAAAGGGTGTGTGCAGTAGGGACAACGGACCGGGGTCACCGAGAGAGTTGGGGAGAAGCCTGTGTTCCCGGCCATGCGCTTTCCTCTCGGGACTCCGCGGGGCGCGGCAGCTGTCAGGGGTGGGGATGGGAGGACGCCTAAGGGGTCCCATCTTCTCCACTCCGCTAAGTGACAGAGACTCTGGGATCCAGCCCCAGATCCAGGACCGTCCAGCGACTCGGAGTCGCAGACTCCTCAGTCTGCGCGGCTGCCGCAGTCGTCCCCGCCGGTGGTAACTTCACCTCCACCCCGGGGCGCAGGGAGCGGGTTCCAGGACAGTGGGCCGAGGGGCGGGGCCCAGGCCGAGGGTGCGCGCCTCGAGCTCGTGACCGCCGCGGCGACTCAGGGTCCCAGCGCTCACGCGCGCCCCGAAACGGCGGCCCGAGCCAGGGGGGCTCCGGGTGCGGGCCACGGCCCCGACTTTAGGGCGACGTGCAGGCGGAGGGGTCCTGCACCCCCCTCCCCGGCCCCTGTCTCTGCGTTCTTAGCGTACCCGAGACTTGTGCCCAGGAGGGCGGACCTGTCCCGGGGGTGCGCTGTGTGGCCTCCGCCGAGCCCTGTCCTCTTGAGTGTGTTCCCGCGCTACGGTCTTGGTGGCCAGCTCCAGACGTGCACGGCCACTGGTGCCTTTGGAGGGTCCTGAATGGGGAGGCCGAAGGGGAGTGTTCAGGCAGAGAAGTCACCTGTGACTCTGGAGCGACTCCTCCAGCCAGGGGTCTTTGCGGGGAGGGCGCAGGGGGGAGTGGGACGCGAGGATGAGCCCCAGCTCCCAGCCCCTCAATCCCGCCGTTCTCTCGCGACCTCAGGAGCCCAGCGCCCCCTCCCTCCC